ATACGCGATGAACTTTTACGACCAACAAGCAAGCATTAAAATTGATTGAGGCACATGCGTAGTATATATGTATCAACGACAGCACTGCTTAGTTTTGGAGTTTTTTCAGAATCTCTATGTCTATAGCCGTTGTGACTGATTGTTCATATTTTACTCAATAGCTATCTCAGTTAATATTATAGAAACGTTCATCAAATGGACAAAATAGATTGTTTTATCAGGATCCAAAGTGAACACTTTGTTTGACAAGAGAATTTTGCATTTGCGAACTGCAACCGAAAGAATTAACTGAAATATGTAACTACCAATGTGACTCACTTGATAGATTATTACCTATATAATACCTTGATTAAAATAATATGAGTAAGAAGATATAGAAACAAGACGTACCAGAATACTTTATTTTGTTGCAATTTGTGTTGACATGTATCATGTCAATCATGTCATCAGATACTACAGGCACGAATTCAATTCTATACCCGAAACGTGGATGTCGTGCCATATGTCTGCAATACAACAAATAATCCGTGTGGTGAGAATATTTACCCTGCATTTAAAGATCAGGTATTCAATTTTCAAGAATGTTATCGAATTGTAGTTTCAACCACAGAGTGACCCATTTGTAAGTGGACCAGGTTTCAGCCCCAATAGCAAAAACTGCGCCAGTGCCAGGTATAGGAAAAATACGTGGAAAATGTTGGGTTAGTGGAATAGTGAGCATACCTATCAAAAATAATGATAGCGATTATTTATTTCTCTGCATACCCCACTGCGTTTGGCTCGGTAATCGAATAAATGAATCTCCAGCATGGGTATGAAATGCTAATTTTGCCAAAATCGGAACCAAGTCAGGTATGCGTCCCAACCCAAATAAACAACCGTAACAATGTTGTTTATTCTGGATGACCTAGAACACCCTTTTTAGATCCTAGGAGCTATAGATCAACTTTTGCTCCTAGGAACTAAAAGTGTTGCCTAGCAACATAGGCACCTATGTTTGTGTCAGCAATAGAAACGTCAATTCAAGAGCTATATAATTTCGGTATTAAAATTGACGACTTCTGTGTCGGTTTTTTTATGGGCATTCAGAATCTAGTACTAGAAAAGGAAGAAAATAAGCATCGTAAACCTGAAATAATTGCATAAAACTGTTTTTTTTTTCAAATCTAACACCCTGTATCTCATTTTCCTAATAGGTATATAGAGCTCTTCTTTCTGATTTTCAATATGTTCAGTGACCCATTTGAAAGCGGGCCACCCTAATAATATTCTTGTTTATGGAGCGATTTGATATTCACGATTTTTTTTTAATGTAGAGCGGGGAAAGATGTATTTTTGAGCTGAGCGGCGTCCATGTTTCAAATTACCAAGGCCTACTAGATTACATCCAGCGGTTGAAAAATGCAGAATGCGATAAAAATAGATTCGGTTTGAAAAATACAAGTTCATGTGATATTTCAAGGTTCACGATGCTTTTTTGCATTTTCTTCTACTAGATTCTGAATTACCATAAAAAATGTTCTACTTTTGCCCATTTGAACGAAGATGGCAATTTTTTTAGTTTTGAAAAATGTCTGGCAAATCATATGATTCATATGTGAGCGTGAGATGTCACTGTCATGTATAAATTAAAGCAATTCAAATTACCATGACTTTCGGTATGCACACATTTTTTGACCAATCGCAACGATCCCAGCTTGGCGGTCAATACGATTTGATTTATTATGTAGATCAATCGTTCAATATATCATCTGCGATTTTCATAACGTTTAAATATTTCGGAACATTTTGATGAATACCTACTGTAATTTCAATATCTACGATATTTATCCAGTATAACTCCCTAACTTCATGCGTAGGCGGGGAGAGCAAACGCCTCACTCTTTTTTTGTATTTATACTCAATTCCATCTAGAATTTCAATACATGGATCATTTTCAATATGATATATAGGTGAGTAATATGATGAACAACGCTGAAAATACACGGTGAATGGTATTGCAACTTCAATGGAAATGAAAATCTGAATTGATAAAATATATTCATATTTCAATGTAAGTAGTGGAAAGAATATCATATATATGCCTCTGCTGAGAATGCTCGCACATGATATCTTTCGGCGCTTCGCGCCTCTGGATATGTGTGCTTGGTATACAGGGTCGCTGATATGTATGGAAACAGGTGAATATTTCGGCAATCTGTTGTTAGATTTTTTTGAATTTATGTACAGTGTGATTTCAAAACGTGCCGGATTTGAAAATGTTATAGCCTCTGTTGCCACTTTTTCAGTTATTCCGGATTTTTAGTAACTTCCTTATTTTGAGTGAAACACCCTGTACTTTATTGGATTTCCAGATTCTCCTTGAAGAGCTGATTCCATCGATCTATCACACTTGGGGTCGAGCGGGAATGATTACATAGGTATAGGGTGTTTAAAATCTAGGTTTTTCAACTTCAAGATTTTTTTGTGTAGTAACTATCCATTATCGATCAAAACCGCTTCAATGTTCCTATCTTCACTTTTAATTTACCATCTACTGACTATTTAATTGGAACAGATACAGAGGGTGATCAGAATTCTGAATCTTGAACCACCCTGTATTTGTTTCAATTAAATGTCAGTAGATAGTAAATCAGAAGTAAAGATGAGAACATTGGAGCGGTTTTGATCGATAATGAATAGTTTCGACACAAAAAAATACTAAAGTTGAAAAATCTAGATTTTAAACACCATATACCTATGTATTCATTTCTGCTAGACCCCAAGTGTGATAGATCGATGGAATTAGCTCTTCGGGGAGAATCTGAAAATCCAATAAATTACAGGGTGTTCTATTCAAAATAAGGAAGTTAATAAAAAATCCGGTATAACTGAAAAAGTGGCAACATTGGCTATAACATTTTCAAATCTGCCACGTTTTGAAATCACACAGTACATAAATTCAAAAAAATCCAACAACAGGTTACCGAGATATTCACCTGTTTCCATACATATCAGCGACCCTGTATATAAGCTCACTTCTCACCAGAGATAAGTTCTTTGGGTAACTTATCTCTGCTCCTCACCATAGGTGTAAAATATACTATTTTTCCCTCAGGGGTACGGAAATGGCCAGCCCGAGGTACTTTATCTAGATACTCATCAATCTTCAACTTATCTTGGATGGTAGGTATATCTTCTTCACTCTTCAGTTTTAAATCTCTCCTATCAGCCTCTCTTGACCAACTTTTCTTTTATTCTTCCTTCTCCAAAGCCCAACCTAACTATACATCATGCGGAAAGAACAAGCAGCGGTTGTTTGGCAGAAGGAGCATTTTGTGAACATTTTTGTTTGAATTCATCGGATGAGACAGTTTAGCGATCATTTGTGAGCAAAGATGTGTCAATTTGTGAACATTGGCTTATGTGGCCGGAGATTGCTGAAAGAAGTTCTGGCAACCTAATCCATCGCAAGTACTTAGAGGGAACCCGTGAGGGGAGATGAAAGGCACCGAGGTTATATGGTGTCGATAACGAGACCTCTGAGAAACAGGGTGACATCTCATAGTAAACAGCTACAGTCCAATGCAGGAGGCATCACAGGGCTACACCAATCCCTTCCCCCATCACTCGTCGAAGAAGAAACACTTTTGGCCTCGCTTTTGGCCTTCTTCGTGGACGAGATGGAGTCGGAAGAGTAGGTAGTCTTCATGAACCTGGACGAGAAGGGTCTTACAAACGAACCTCTGGTAGCTACTGTGATGGTATTTGATGACGGTATATTGGACTAACAGCGATAATATATACTTATGATTTTTTTGAAGTTCTGGTTCCCACGACAAGGGATATCCTGTTATGTTCAGAGAACATCGTGAGAACCAAGGGAATTGATGTTCTTCTTAAATTTCTGGAGTTTATGTGCCTCGGGAAAAACCTCCCTTGGCAATGTGTTCCAGAGCCTCGCTGTTCGTTGGATGAACGAGTCTTTGGAAAGAGATATTCTGCAGGTCTCCAAAGTGAACACGAAGGGGTGTGAAGCCTCAACTCGACTGGTTAATCTAGCGGGGACTGCCAAGGGAGGACCAATTGTTAATGTTCCAGGAGAGCATTGTTCATGAAAATATCTATAAAATAGAGCCAGATCGCCAAATTTTCTACGGTGTTCCAGAGAAGTGAGTGAGTTTGTGAGCGAAGCATCACCCCACGAGACGAATTGCCCTTTTTTGGATAGAATCCAACAGTTTCAGGGTATTTTTGGGTGCTGCTTTCAAAATATGGAACAGTATTCTAGGACAGGTCGGATCTGTCCTTTATTGGTCATAAGCAGCTGACTGGAAGTGAAATAGGTCCTGGCCCGAAACAGAAAACCAAGTTTTTGGGATGCACTTTTAGTAGTTGACCTCACGTGATTTTCCCAAGAAAGATTATTGCTGATAGCAATACCAAGCATCGAAATGGATATCTGCAAAGGTATGGTTACTCCTGACAGGCTTATGTTGGGCACAGTGAGATCGGCTTTTCTAGAGAAAAGGCATGCTTGTGTTTTGTTTGCATTGAAATCTACCAAGTTATTGGATCCCCATTCGAGAATTGTTGCCAAGTCCATATTTATGTTGTCAACATTTCTCCCTCGTTCGTTTCTGGCTCGTTGCCTGGCTGATATTGGAGCCCTGGAAGAGAAGGCGGTATGGAGGGTACTATCATCCGCGAGGCTGTGTACTGGACATGAAGTTGCTTCCAACAAATCGTTGATATGGAGTAGAAAAAGTGTTGTTGCTATGATTTTGTAGCAGTACAAGTCATATTCTAGGTGCAAGTTGCACTGGAAACCGCATCTACCTTCATCAAGTATCCCGAATCCTTGAGGTTGCAAATGTAAATACAGGATAATAAAACAAACTTCTTCTACTCATCCCTCTTGAGATAGAGCTTAGACAAACAAAAGTGTGCTAAAATGGAAATAGTATTTGTGTTATTTCTGGAATAAATCCAAAGTCACCCTCACTGGAAGCTGTACTTACCTTTTGGTATCTCCTTGAGGTCGCAATATGAAATCTGCACATTCTTCAGCCTGGGCAGGTTCCTGAACGCTCGTGGCTCGATCGAGTCCAGTTCACAGCCCCAGAACGAGATCGTCTCCAGCCTCACCAGATGCCTCACCGAGTCCTTGCCCAGCCTCGGGATCTTCTGGTGTATGATGAAGACGGCGGTCACTGTCTTCTCGTGGAATCGCTTGCGTTCCAGGCAGCCATTCACCTTTTCCATAAAATATGATGGGTACATTTTCAGAAAGAATCAACCTACCCTGAATTACCTAACCTTCCCAACAACTATAGGCCTATTTCCCGGTTATCAGTTATCTCTATGACTAGCTGTGGCGTTATATTAGATCACAACATTCGACCGTGTTTAGCATCAAGGACGTTTCCAGAAACTATATACTATACATATACGGCTCACCAGAGTGTATGGTTCTTGCACCATCTCAGCATTAATATCTCAACTGAGACGTTTATAATTCCTCTGGTGTGCCCACTTCTCAATTGTTTCGTCAGACTAGCTCTCAATATAGACAATTGAATGCGAGTTCGGAACGTGGGAATCTCATATATTCGATGATAGATTGCGCGAACGATGGACAATTTCTTGAAAAATTCCAAAATGCTTTTCGAATCTTATTATGAAGTTGGAGTAGAGTTTCAATTAAGTGTTTTCCTTCTCTCGGGACCTGAAGAGTCCCGTTGATGATGCACGAATTCAATTATAGCTTATAAGAACCATCTAGAGACAGGACGCATAAGAGACAGGGCGCAAGAAATAATCCGTGTGGAAACCATATACGTATTAATAAACAATACGGATCATAACGGGTGCCAGGATGAAGCCAAAAATATGAAACAAATGAATATCCATAAGGATTTGGTGGCATGATACGTAGTCATCAAAGACATATGCGTTTCGGTGGACAATAGCCTTTCAATCAAAGCAGTATGTGTCTGATCGTATCTCACTTTTCCTTATAGATAGTCATTTTTCTTCAAAAATCGGCTTCATGTTTCGCTATGGAAACAGATAGAGATTATCCGTATTGATTATTAATACGTATATGGTGGAAACATCTTGATCTTGACACATCTGTATTCTGTCAAGAGTGTAATGTTTTCAGCATATTAAAAATTTTGTTCCAATTTCAAATAGAAATACGATAAAATGAGAGCATTAGTTGTTTATTAAGCAGGTATTGACTGGACTGACTACTGGAATGTGTGAGGATTATTTGAAAATCCGAACATTAGATTTATTTAATGTACCAAAAGTGAGTAAATAAACTATCATCACAGGATTTTCTGGAGTTAGGACTTCGTGTCGTTTATAAATTCACCATTGAAAGTCGAAGATATAACGCACCGTTTTCATTTATATAACAAATTGTGAAAATGAAAATGTGAACGCAAATAAATGTGTCATGATGCCTGTAAATTCGGTTTGAAACTTCGGAAGTTCAGCTAGATTCTCCCACGCCTCGCTTTTTTAACAAAGTAGGCGATATCGAGAGATATCGAAACTCCTTTCATTAGGAAGTGATATCACCATATTACTTTCTATACATCTCTATCTCAGCTATGCCATCTTATATCGAGTAATAACATGGTATTTGCACGTGAAATACGTCAAAGTTGAAGTTGGTTTCTCTGCACTTTCACATGTTTTTGGAGGTGCTGATGAATCTGATGCAGAAGTTAGCAACAAAATTCCCTGAAGCGTTTCGAAATATTGGCAAAAAACATCGAAATTTTCGCAGGTTTTTCAGTTTTTTGCGTGTAATTGAGAAATTATACATACACATATATTAGAGGAAAGGTCACCCTATATAAAGTTGAAGTAGATAAAATTCCCCATATATAGTTGTTCTTACTCATAAATGTAGGACTAACGGGTGAGAAGCTAGAGCAAGTTAAAAATATACAAAATTTGCGTACGTATTTTGCACCAAAATAGTGTTTACCAGGGAGCACAGAAACATGTCAGAGATGTTGAAAGTACGAGATGTTGAGACATTAAAGCTCCACTGCGATGTCATGTTCACACATGAATAGAACATTCATATAGAACAGCCAATGTCCGCAGGCGGCGTTTATAAAGATATCCTTGGGATGTCACAAAAATATATTTTCCCTAGTTTTTTTGATAGCCTTCTCATGGACTCAACAAATAGTTTTTCGCACATTTAATCACTGCAAATAAACCATTCCTGGTGGGTATATTATAGAAAAAACAGAAAATTGAGCTTTTCCCACTGGGGAAACGAATATACTCTATTGTGATTGTCTTTTTATAATCCTTGTCCACTGCGCTATGCGAACCTTATTGATAAATGGTATGTAAGTATATTATGTCAACATGCACTTCATTATTATAGTCGTATAATAATTAGCATTGAGGCTGGAGAATAATAGGGTGAGTCAGGGGAAACATTATAAATATTGATACAAGAATAACATCCATATCATATTTTGATACGATTCTGTATATTCTCAGAATATTCTGAGATTATGTCGAATCTAATGTTCATGGAATATTTATTGCCAGGATGAAAATATTCGATGATCATTCTGAGAACATTTTATCAGATTATTTTAAAATAAGAACGAACGTTCTGAAAGTTGTCAGCATATTCGTAAAATATATGTGCTTTTTGAAATATTATTACGACCTACATGTCGTTGCATCTGTTCTGAGAAAAATAAGAAGTCATTAATGGTATTGTGATATTGGAACAAAAAGACGCTGCAAACGCTAATGCCAAACAAAAAAATCGGAAACAAATTAGAATTCATCGTATTGTGACGTAAGCGTATTATGACACGTTGTTGTGGGGCAAAAAAAGATATGGCACATGAGAACAAAAACAATACTTTCAATATCCTTCCAAGACCTCTTTGGGAGGTGCATATTACGTCTCATGCCAACATTTTTTGAACACCCCAAAACATCCCAGAGATACTTCCTCAGTAGGCAAACAAAGAAATGCCACAGAAGAACGAAAAAAATACTTTCAATATCTCTTAAAGATCTCTTTGGGTATGCATATGACGTCTCAATGAAACATCCTGATGCCGAAATGTTGAAAACATCACAGATCATCCCAGGGATATCTCTCAGTAAGCACACAAAGAAATGCCACAGAATAACAACAATAATACTTCAATATTCTTCAAAGACATCTTTGGGGAGTGCACAGTAGGTACGTCCCAAAAAACATCTTTCCAGGGATGTTTGTGCTCGCAGGGTTCTCTTAAATAATTCATAATCAACGCATTTCTATAGAGCGTTCCTAGGGAGGATAGGGACAGGAGGTACCTAGGTATTGGAATTTTTTTTGAACTTCTGGAGATATATGTTGTTGAGAATACTTCTACATGCAATGAATTCCAGAGTCCAGCCGTTCTATGGATGAAGGAGTCTTGATAAAGTGCTGTTCGACATCTTTAGAAGTTGACAACGAAAGGATGTGCTGACTGGGTTTGTCTAGTTCGTCTGACTGGTATTGTTACTGAAGGGATGATAACAGAGATTTCCGAAGAACATTTCCCGTGGAAGTATCGATAGAAAAGTGAAAGGTGAGTTATTGCTTTTGTCAGCGTGTAACTAGAGGTAGAATAATGTTTTCCACACCGGGCTCTTGTTATTCGTTAGCGGAGGGAAAAATAAAAAAGTTAATCTCATATACCACCAGATACACAGAGAGTACCCTGAAGCGAACATGATCTGCTTCACTTGCACATTCACCATCTTCAGAACCGGATCCTCCAGGGTAGGACCAGCCCCCCCCCCTCCAAACGACGATTTATTTGGATTGTAGATTGTAGGGATTACCGTCATCTAATGGTCATCTATAACCCCAAACTTCTGATGAAACCTAAGATTTTCTTGACGGTTAATTTTTCTACCCTATATCAATCGTCAGATGTAGATTGTAGATGGGTCGTATAGGCTGGGAGACCTCTCGATCACTGCGACCTAGAGAAGATCTATTGTGATTACCCTTATCTAGTTTTAGTCTCTAACCCTATTGAATTCTGATGAAGCCTAGAATTTTCTTGACGGTTGAATTGTCCACCTCAACAGGTGTAAGATAGACCTGTTCCAGGTGATTCAGCCTTTGGCGGACCAATACTTTACATGAGCAAAGTATGTGTTCCGCGGTTTCGGTCGCATTGTTGCAAAAGCGTCAGTCTCCGCCAGGTCCATCTTTTTGAGGTGGTACCTCAGAAGGCAGTGTCCGAGGCAGTGGCCTATGAGCTAGCCTGTGATAAGCTTTAGCTCTGATCTGCTGAGGCTGAGTAGCTGTTTGGCTCGGTTCTGCGAATGGTTGATGAACCTTTTCGCTTGTCGTTGATCTAGAGTTGCTCTCCAGTAGGAGGACTTTTCAATTTCTTTCCATTTTCTGAGTTCCCCCTTCAGGTGACATTTGCTTTTTCCACAAAAAGGCTCAGGACTGAAGAGTGCAGATTCTGCACCTTTTTTTGCAATGCGATCAGCTGCCTCATTTCCTTAGATTCCTTATCATGCCCTCTGGAACGTCAGATAGACCTGTTCTAGTAAGGTCAGCCATTGGCGGACTAGTACATTGAAACATTCGCTGCTGCTCTTAGAATCCACCCAGAGACAAGCCATTCGCCTGGTGGGGGTGATGGCACACCCACTAATTCTTTGATATCATTGGAACACTGTAGAAAGGTCGGCAACCCTCCACTTTCCTATAGATACTTCCACGGAAAATGCCATCACTAGCAACACCAGTCATCAGACGTACTCGACAAGCCCTGTCGGCACATCCCTCATCGTCAATCTCTAAATATGTCAAACAAATATTACCAAAACTCGTTTGTCTTTGTAGCAGAACGGCAAAGCTTTGCAATTCTTTGCCTACGGAAGTATTTTCAAAGAACTTTTACATCATTTCCAAAAGTAAATAATAATATAATCCGATATCTACCTTCTATTCTTATCCTCCCTAGCAGAGGTACGCACGGTATTCTTCGAACGTAATAGGGATTATATTTTCGTGCGCTCCTAAAAATAATGAGAAATATTGAAAAAAGAGTATAGTTTTTGTCGATTATCTCGAATTATTGATTCACACTCATTCATATATGTATATCATTGTATATCATCGCAAATGCCGGTAATCTCTCTCGATTGTAATTTCTGGAGAATATGAATCCCAACAGTTACAAGGATGCTCTGCTTATCTTTATTTAAACCAGTAATAATCACTAACCGTCTCATTGGACTGGCGTCCATCCATTTCGACCACTTGAACATTCACGTCATCAAAGGAATCGCACTCGGTCGATTTGCCTGAAGTGTGTAGCAATGTTGTTACAACTAACACCAGTAACACCAAGAAAAACATACGACTCATTTCAAGAGGCTTTCAATTGTGAGGTTTTTGTCGACCAACACCAAGATTACTACACAGCTGATGTTGCTATTAAATTTGTTGATGATTTTCAGCTTGTGTGTGGCTTGGAGAATGGATCTATGGAGAGGTCATCAAGTGCCAACCAGTGGCGTACTCAACCAGGCACTGCCAGAATCCGATTTGGAAGAGGCTCAACAGTGACGAGAGAATCAATCATAGTTAAAGTGATGTTTTGGAGATACCTAGGTAGCGGTGACATAGGTAATCGAATACTAAGAAATACCTATCTATGTACCCAAAATACTATATACAAAATAAATATTTTGAAAAGCAGGGGCGGATCTAAATAGGGACTTTTTAGCCGGGCTACAGCCCACCCAGGGCCCCATATTATGTATACGAAGGGCCCGTTCAGCTCCTATTGAAAACAATGGACAATTATATATGTGAAGGAAAAAAAATTAAACTTTATTCCTTATATTATTTTTTATAATTTATCTAGCAAACATGATATAGCTGATGGCGATGGGCGAGTGGACTGATTATGAATTATTGGCATTCAATTACTCCACTGTGTCGTTAGGAACCTAAATTAATTTTTGCTACACTTCTCACGCTCTTTCCATGTGAATGATGAGTCTATATGCGTTGTTCGAAATTGTCGAATTTCAGAGCTCATGCGACAACATTTGCAGGAGAGAAGGGTTCTGTTGTCATATATCCCAGCGAGCACAAAAACATCTCAGAGATGTTAAAAGTACGAGATTTCGAGACATTGAACCTCCACTGCGATGTTCTGTTCACACATGAATAGAACTATTATAAGAACAGCCAATGTCCGCCGCAGGCGGCAATTATCGAGATGTCCTTGATATGTCACAAAACTACCTTCTCCCTAGTTCTTTTTAAAGCCTTTTCATGGACACAACAGAATATTTTCAACGCGTCTTGCGCACATTAAATCTCTGTAAAAAAAACATTTTCGAGGTACTTTTCTGAAGCCTTTTGTCAAAATGAACTATTGCATTAGGATTCCATTTCCCTTGAATGAAAAAATGCATTAAAAATAGATTGAACATAAAAATATTTTCTTGATATGAAATTACCTTCTCAATCGGTTTCTGAGTAGTGCTCACTACACACAGACATATAATTGGAAATAGGTTTCCCAATTTTTGAAATGTTCTCCACAATGCATAATTTTGCAACTGCGGAGAAGCTGTGTATTGATGAATTCGTACTTTTATATATTGATTACACTGAGGCACCGAACAACACATAGCTTGCATCTGATGGTCATTATTACAAACTAAATAAGTCTTCTAACACAATAAACTTCACCAAATTCCTTTCTGTTCGTTAGCAGCGTGATGTATAAGCGTGACACGCTGCAAACGCGAATGCCAATTGCGAACAAGAAAAACAATATCGAAAACAAATCAGAATTCATCGTATTGTGACGTAAGCATGAGACGTTGTGGTGGGGCAAACAAAGAAAGGGCACAAAAGAACAAAAACAATACTTTCAATATCCTTCTAAGACCTCTTTGGGAAGTGCATATTACGCCTCAAAAAAACATCCTCATGCCTACATTTCTAAAACATCCCAAAACATCCCAGGGATACCTCTCAGTATAGGCAAACAAAGAAATGCCACAGAAGAAAAAAAACAATACTTCAATATCCTTCAAAGACCTCTTTGGTCAGTGCATATTACGTCTCAAAATAACATCTTCATGCCAACATTTTCAAAACATCCCAAAACATCCCAGGGATGTTTGTGCTCGCTTGGTATGATTACTTTGATGAACATTTATTCCCGATAGCCCGTTTTACGCAAATAGGATGACGTTAATTTCTCCATCCAATATTTTTATACGCTTTTTTTTAATACGACTATACCTTCGTAATATAAATTTTCATCATTTTCACCCACTAGTTGTTGGGTGAGAAAATCAGAAACCTCAAAAATTAACATTCAATGCCGCCATTTTGTTCGATTTCTCTTCTTATCATCTTATTTTGTCGTTCTGTTCTATCAGAAAAGCCCTTATCGAACAGCCAGAGCGAATAACTTTTGAAATTGTTGGCGCGAATTCATAGAATATGTCAAGAAAACGCAATGAATAACTGTGAAGGTGAGTTCCAATGCAGCGTTTTTGCTTTACGCGTCGAGCGTCATGCAACCTGATTGGTGACTCTGAATTTGAAAAACATTTGACGTGATGAAGTCAAAATATTGTAACTTTTTGGCGTTGCTGCTTCGTGTTGTGTTGAGATTGTGTTCCATAAACCTTAATATTCATTGAAGCAATATAAATTCTTTCAACACAAGGTTTTTATGAAAATGTAGAAATCTTAAATGAAGAGTAAATCATTGCAGTATCACTGAAGTAGGTACTTAAGTACCTAATTATATATTTTCACTATATCTTGGAAGCATCATCCTATATTTTCAGTTTTCTCAGATATTCTCATGATTCTTCAATGCAAACTTCAACCACATCGACAATTATTGGTAATTTCATTGGGAACTGAAGTAAACATAAATAATGAAAAACAGTACAGCAATTCTCATTTATTACGCGTCACCAATCATAATATGTGCGTGACGCGTGACGCGAAAAGCAAAAACGCGGCATTGGGAACTCACCTTTAACTAGGTTAGCGTCAACAAAACGCACCTAGTATCTGAATTCTGACATTCCTGACAGATCTTGCAGGGATGTAAAAGATGTAAAAGTGGGAACTGGAACTGTGAAGTGACAAAAATGACAAAAGGATTTGGATTTTTCCTCTTCGATTCTTGGGAATTTGGTATTTGATTTTGGTGAAATCCTTTTATTTGATTCTTCGTTGTGGAATGTGGATGACTGGATGGTCGATGGTTGTGTGTACCAAAGACAGTACTGACCGTATTTATTAAAATTTCTCGAGACAAACGGCGACTGTTTGTAGCGTCTGCTAAACAAATAGCCAGGCGGGAGGCGGGTTTTTTGTGTAGTGCGATTTTGTGTTTTTTATAAAATTGTAAGTAAAAGATTCGTTTATGCTGGGTTTATAAATTCAATCAAACGTGATCAAACCAACAATTAGGAACTAACAATTTCCCTGGGTTCATAGATTCAACTAAACTAACAATTAGAATAATTATCATGAGGGTGTTATGTCTTCTGATTAAAGATCAAAATGATGTTAAAACGTGATTTGGTTTCCACAACGGTTTGGGATATCAAACCCAAAGTGTACGTACAGACTGCTTTATTCTATTAATATTATTGAGAATGCATCAGAAGAGTCGAGAAATAATGATCATGCTCTAGCTAAAAAAACAATACCTAGTTCTTTTGATTCTCTGTTGAAATGTAGATTTGTGGCAACGTTATTTTTGTTTGAAACAAAGTTATATTTATTTCGGAATGGGCATTGTTCTTCATTTTCATAATTGTTGTTTCTAATGTAGTGCGATAAACAAATGTTATGATAATGTTCTTACACATACAGGGTATTTAAAGTCATTGATAATGATAATTTGTCCCAAATACGGACTTGTCCTCTAGTTTTTTAATCAGGTTGGGATCAAAAAATGAAGAAAATATGAAACAGTTGGGGACGACAAATTATTGTTTTTTTAAATTTTGTGCCACCTCATTATTGAAACCTATAGATTCGACTCAAGTTAATAGGTGAAAAATTTGTAAGCAGAAACACCAAACACATTCTGTCCTACTTTATTTTTTCCTGCTTTTCCCAAGTTAGTAGATAAGATTTTGAAATATTGATATACAAGGTGTTGTTTCGACTCGAAACCTACTTATTAATTTTTTCAATGCCGGCCCTGGAATAAGAATGCTTTTATTACGTCAATCGTCACCAATGTGGACAAAGAACATACAAATCAAATATCAAAAAAATGTATATCCTATACATTCATCCTGGTTCATAAGTTATGATCAAGTGAAAAATTAATAAATCATCCTGTATCTTGGTTATAAAGAATGGTAGATCTATGGAATATGGATTATTTAGAAGCACCTTGGTGTCCTCCATCTACCCTTACTGTATACGCATTCCCCCCCGCAAAATGAAAAATATTTTCAAATTTTTTTTCAAATACTTATGTCTAATTAAGTATATGATAGCTGTCATGTGCCAGAAAATTTCAACTTATTAATTTTACGCCTACATGCTCATGTGGATGAAAAATTTCCAAATAATTTGCTAGTTACCATAGTAACAATGTCGAAATGAAGCATCTGATTGGTTGAAAATGACTGGTATGACATTTTTTCATGTATTGAGAACATCGTGATATTACATACATAATATTCTTTTGGAATCAAATGATAATTTGTGCTTTGATTTTGTTTCGTTTGGGTATCCCAGTTTCGTTTGGAGATATAGTGGTCATTGGTCAAATAAAATATTTATTTTATTGATTAATTTTTTATTAAATTGGCGAATAATATGGATTTGTGAGATAGGCGGATTTGGCGGGTGCACAAACACAGCAGTTCATCTACTCACCGCATGGAGAGTGAGCGTTTGCTCCGAGGTTTGACTAGCGTCTAGCGCAAGGAGGTATTAGTATAAACAACGTAGTGGGAGAACCGCGCAAGCGCGACGCGGACGCGGACAAACATCACCTATGCCTTCACCTATCGACATGCCCGACGAACGTTGGAGCGAAGGAATATATATACGTATGATGCAAATGTATGGAATAAATTCATTTCAAAACAAGACGACTTCCGAAAAAAATCCAAAAAGTAGAGTTCAGAACTTTTTTATCGATGTATTTTTTCAACTAGACGACCCTTCGATGTTCAATTCTCAGTAGAAGATCTCTGCAAGATTCAGTTAACCAAATGATAATCCATTTTAATTTCAATCTTCTTTTGCAAAATTTTGACTATTGGATAGACGATCAGTAGACCTTTCAAACGAGGTATCACATGACCCCTGTTTGTATTTAAAAAAACCGTCCATTACGTCATTACTCCAACACCGGTGACGTAACATCTCTCATATGAATGCCATGAGATGAGGTTTAAAAAATTAAATCTCACGTGTTTTTGAAATATCTTCAAATGTCGCCCATTTCTGAAATAATGAATTTATTCCATACATTTGCATCATACTGTACTATATAGAACTTCACATTTTCTCCAGATACTCTCTGCGATGACCACGTCATTCTGTCCATCTACCAATTTTGGATTTTCAAATGGAATAATACATTCTATACATTATTCTATCACTGATTATGGGTTATACCATTACGATACCACAAATATACTGACAATATATCAACTTACTTGCCATTATCACTAGTCTTATTATTAGTAATTAATTGAAGAAAAAATGTATTCAGATTTTCAGTTTCTTTATTCATGATGTAAACTTAAATGCTTAAAGAATAATATTGTATTTTCTGTAGTAGTC